ATTTCATAATATGCTTATGAGTAGATGACATGCTGATTATAGGGATAACAATGATACCATAATTCAAACTATTTAAAGAATGTTAACAAGTTTGAAATGAAGAATTTGGGTGTGGTTTATGTTATATTAAGAAATAAGATTTCTAAAATATCTGATGGTCTCATATTATCTCAATCATACTATATTGAAAAGATTTGTGATAACTACAAGATAATACGATATTATTCATATGAAAACACTTATGGATCCTATTCTATATCTTATTTCCAACACTGGTGACAATAAGTCACAATTGAAATCCAGATGGATAAGAAACTTTCTAAAGATATTCCATATTGGGTAAACCCTATGTCTACTATATATATCAATCGCGATAGTCAATCGACAATTGGAAGGGTACAGAATGTTATGTATAATGATAAATCTCGACATATACATCGTAGACACAACATCTTTAGACAATTGCTCTCTACTAATGTTATCTTTGTAGATTATATGAAATTAAAAGAGTATTGTGGATCTGCTAATTAAAGGTTTGATGAGAAAACAAGTCGAAAGTTTATCAAAGAGGATGGTTTAAAATCGATAAAATAACCAAAAGTTTCTATGGTAGCAACCCAACCTAGTTAACTGGAGATCCCAAGATCAGGGTTCAATGAGACAGCTAAACTATGAAAAACTCAGTATGTATCAGGGAGATTTTTAACTCCTACCTATTCCAATGATGAGCTAGTGCGTAACTGTTGTGAAATAGGTTAAGTTACGTTTTTAATGATCTCTATATCCTAATTCGTTCAAGAGAGATATAGAAAAATTCTCTTTATGGAGATCACCTATGTGGGTGAGAAGGGGTTGATTCTACGATAGTTATGTAAAGAAAAATTCTCAAAAAACACTCATAAATCAGGAGGTGTCCAAGGCCAAAATGGAGTATAGGTTTATGTGAGCAATTGACTGTTCAAAGCATCGTGTTACTGATTGACCAAGTAAATCCGATAGTTTTACTAGGGAAAGTTTAAAGTCTTTAGCTACTTATTCCGATGCAGTTTTTCTTTATTTTTTACTTCAAAAAACATATCAGATGTTATTATTTGGAAAAAGTAGACATATTTTTGTTCATATGGAGGATTGTTAGAAATGGTTTTAATTAGTGAATTAGATCAACTTTGAGCTCCAATTTTACTGGGACCTATACTTTAATTTAAATGGGACCAAGCATATTCATGCTCCGCAAGAATCATAATGTGGTGTACTTATTGAAAACCATTTAGAATTGAATGAAATATTTGATGTTAAAGCAACACACTTAAAACTATAAACTAGTGCAGAATTTGATTTATTGAAAATCGCTAAACACTTATCCTATATATAAAAGTTAAGAAATTTTGGTGTGGTTTATATAGTGAAAGTTTGACAATTGGGTTGGGGACACAGAGGGTACCAATAGTATTTGGAAGGGATAGATCTATATTTTATTGAATTCGGTCCTATACCCCACACGTGGAGTCGTCGTCGCCATCCATTCGGCCTGCTTGGGTTGGCTTGGCATAAACACTAGGACATGTTGTTTTCAAGTTCAGTTTGGTCCGGTTCGTGTACAGGTGCAGGTGGGTCCTTGCAATATATTATCTTTTTGGATAAAATTCATTTAAATTTTAGGCCAAATTGTAATTATTCAGATTCTCAGGCATTTAGAGGTGTTTGATGGAGATTAAAATTAGATTTTTTTAGTAGATTTTGATAGAACTTTTTGAAATGTATGATTGAAAAGTGGTGGAATCCATGAAAAATGTAGTTAATATTGATTGTTTAACTTTGACTTAGATTAAAATCAGATTTTAATCTATACCAAACGGGCTCTTAAATAAATTATTTTTAAATATTACTTTTTTATTGCTTATCATTAGCCTTTTTTGGGTATTTTCTGTTGTGGGTCGACCATTAACCGACTTAACAGACGTCCATTAGCTGACTTAACGGACACAGTGTTTCATTCTGAACAATGCTATTTGTTTGGGTTTAGAGGGCTATCCGAACAGTGACTGCCGTTCTAAAAAGGCTTGAAGGATGTTTAAATGGCCACGAACGAATTTATAAATACCCTGCCCTGCTATCAAAATAATTACACCATTTTCATTACAAACTTTCTTTACTTTGAATCTCATTCTCTCTCTTGTTTTGATATGTTCTCCAAGTAAAAGCATTTCATTGAGTTCGTTGAAATTTCTATAGATTATTGTGCTACTTCCATATGAGACAAAATTCATTTTATCCTGAGAAACAATTGCTGCACGCCTTCAGTACCTTTGAAGGCAGTGAATTCGTTTTCAAGAAATATCGTGAAGTCGGTGGACTCAAATTAACATTATGATCTTATTGATCAGCTTGTTACGCTATTTAAATATACTATCGTAATTCTGTCAATGTATTATTTTTAGATTGTTAGAAGGAATAATTTCTACTATAGAAACCAGGATCTAGTCGTTTTAATGGTAGCTTGTCTCACTTCAAATTTAAAAAAACCAACCCAAGTGCAAAAACAACATAATTCATAAAATTGGATTTGAAATATCATGACAATTTAATAACAATTTAGACAATTTTAATCATCGTTCTACAATTATAATAAATGATTGGTGATCAATTTGTACTGTTTCAAAAAAAGTTGAAGACCAATAATACCATTACTTCACTTTCTTGTTTATATTATGTCAAAAGCACTCTATTCGCTTAGTCGATTATGTTAAAAGAAATATGTAATTGCAAAAGTCGAAAAGTAAAAATGACAAAGAGGAAGCAGTCATGTTCTTGCATGTATAATTGAACATTAAAATACAATTACATTGGCCAACAATGTCACTATCAGCCCCCAAATGTCTAAAGAATGTATACTTTAATTTGAACAGTCGTGTCTTCTTGGATGTTACCCTTTATATAGCCCAATGCTGCATTTTCCTAGTTGATAGACTAAAACCATGTTTGGTTAACCTTAAAAATAAACACTCACGAGTAATTATATTACTTATAAGTGAAAGTAAAAAAAAAAAAAGTAAATTAAGAAAGAAAAAGTATTTAAAACATTTGTGCCAAACATGCTCTTTGAAGAAAACGGGTTAACTATATCAGTAGTAATTTAAACTTTTTGAATTAATGAATCATGTTTTAATTATATGGTTTTAATCGAGCATTAATCATTATGTTTAATTGGTTAAAATTATTTTTATCTTGACGTGCATTGAAGATGACAATCGCACATACTTTTCGAATTTATTTGTTAATTATGATGGTAATTGAATTTTGCTAATTTAGTGCAAATAAAAGTATATCATTCAATCAAAAACTAAATCCATTTTACTTCATAACTAAAATAATTATAAAAATATAAACATAATTATTGGCCCCCACAAGACTACAACAAAACCCAAAAAATAAAAGATAAAGAAAAACCCAGTGTATTCCACAGCTCAATCCGTATGTGTCATTTGTTTGTCATGAGTTGTGTTTTGTTCAAAGCTCAAACAAACTCCACCAAACCCCAATGTTTGCGCGCACACATGAATGTGTTTGATTTTTATTTTTTTAAGTTGCATTTTTTCTCTTTCTCTTCCTCCAATCACACATTCTTCAATAAAATAATATTATACATTAATATAAAACTTTTTATTATTTTTAATTGCATATTCTTCATCAATCAACTATTTCAAAATTCATTTCTCTAGTTTAATCGGAATCGAACAAGTTCTATGTTTTTACTTGATCCTAATTTTTTTAAATTCATATTTGGATAAATTTATTTTCAATCACACTTTTTTAGAGGACTCACGACTTTTATTAACTTTTAACCTATATATTTCGTGAACTTTTATTAAAATTTAGTAAAAAATTAATTTTCAGTCAAATTAAACAAGAGCTTCCATGTCTTAAAAATGAAAATCATTAGACTTTGGTTATGTTTCAATTCAATTTTGTTGTTGCACATAGAATCGTAAGCTTTTTTATGTAATTGTTTCATTTTGATGAATCGAACCAAATTTAATTATACTTTCAATTTTGTGATTAAAAATAGGGTTTGACTTTCTCATTATTGTTAACAAAGAAAAAAAAAATTAAAATTCTCTACATCTTCAATTCCTAAGACAAAAACAATGTCCGATTAATTGAGGTTGCTTTCCTCCGAATATAAAGTAACACAATTAAGGAATTTTGCTGAAGTACTTGAAAATGTTGGACCGATGGGGTGATATCCTCTTACATTGTCGCAAGTTCGATATGAATAAAAAAAATGCTAACCTCCTATGTATGTGTGTGTGCAGTCAACCCCTACGTCATAGTCTCTATTATTGTAGCTTCGTCCAAAATTAAGGTACGAAAATTATTTTACAACATTATTTTTCCACATAGTTAATGCCTTTTAAACTGTCTATGCTCTACCATTTATTATACCCAACCTGGCACCATCACCATTACATAAAGGTGTGTGTATCTACATGTAGAGAGAGAGACATTGACATACAAATATGTAGTGAGAGAGAGAAAAAGAGTTGACTGTTGGGCATTTGTCTTGCTCTCTCTGTTAACACTTTGCTATACAGTATGCATACACAATTTCGACACCCCTCTCTGTGTACCATAAATCCTTTTGGGTGAGGGTGTATGTATCTGTCCATATGAAGAGAAAATCAAACGGCTCAATATTCTTACCCTTATTTAGCAGGCTGGAATTTCGTAATCAAAGTCTCTCGTGAATAATAAAAACGCTCCCCTAAACATTTTTCTGTCGATGTTATACGAAGTAGCAGTACAGACAGATACGAAACAAGGTGTAAATCTTTTTCTCTCTCACTAACACAAACAGAGTTCAGTCTTTTTGTATGTATACACGTATACCCTTTTGTGTTTAATTTGTATATGTGTGGATGATTTAGATCTTAGGGTTGATCTGCCTTCACTGATCTACATTTTTTTGGGAGCTTTTTTTTTTTTTTTTTTCTGTAGTTTTATTGAGTTACATGGATACTCTCATTTTTGTGTATATACTATACATAGGATAATCATCTTTCTGAAATTTTGCTGTAAAAAGGGTTTTTATAATTTGTTTTGAAGAGATAAAGGACAGTCTCTTTAGGGTGTTGAACAATCAGGTGTAAAAATTATTTTCTGTTCTTGTTTAATATATTTTTTTAGTTTTTTTACTTTTATTTTTCTGTTGGGATCTTCCTGAAATTCTCTATGTTACTGAGATTATTTAAAAGGCTAGATTAGTTATTTTATATAAAAGGGTTTGTTCATATGTATGTGAGTGTGATAGGGAGCTAAAGGACAGAACAAATGGTGGGGATTGGGGTATTGACTTTTTAGTAATTAAATGGATGATTAGTATATTTTAGCTGTTAAAAGTTTGTCGGGATTTCTGCAAAGTGGTGACTTTTTCTTGTCCTCTTCTTTGTATATGGGCAAAGGGAAGATTCCAAAGCTTGTCTACCGTTCGTTTTTTACTTGCTCAAACTTTCTTTTCCCGGAAAGTCTTTAAGAAATTGTCCGTAAAATGAGAAAAATTAGTAAGGTGAAATATATACTCGAAAAATAATTTGCAAGGTGAGAATTGAGATGTCAATATTGAATATAACCATATGATATTATTTGGTTCCAAAATTATACATTTTCTAGAATTTCCAATGCTCAGTGCTTTTTTCTGTTCTTGGTACTGAACATAATTGATAATTTAATCTCTTTGTAAGCCTGCGATCGTTTCAAGGTTTTGCTTTAGTGGGTACTGTAGTTAACAAACATGCTTCATGGTATCTGGCTTTTGATAGAATGCTAATATGAGAATGAAGATGGCTAATACTGTGTATATCCTGATTGGTGGATTAATTATCACTCACGAGAGCATTTTTTTACTTTATTGGAGAGGTTTTTATTCTTACTTGGTGCACGATTTTCATTCCTTCAAATTTGTGTTTCTCAATCTCATATATGATTATTAACTGTAGAGGTTGGCCTCTCAACTCTGCTTTAATATATGCTTCACTAGTGGATAGTTTGCTTCTCGGCTGTTAAAATTTTCGAAAATATCTCAAGGGATGTGAATTATGAAGCCTGGTAGTATTTCCAAAATTAAATTTTGTTTTAAAAATCTGTTACTGAAATCTTGATTGTTGCCTGATGGCCTTACCGGTAGCTCTAAACAGCTGAATTTTTTCTGGGGGTTGAGTAATATACAAATAATAGCATCTATGTGTTTTTCTGTGCTGATTGCATTTTGGAAGGGTTACATTATTCATTTTTTTCATGGTGATTCTAATAATCACATTATATCAATGTCTTTCTGTTTGTCACATTTTGTTTTGTGTTTCATTCTTGATGTTTTATGCCCTCCATCATTCATTCGGAACAGTTATCTCACTTATAAATGCTCCTTTGTTGCTTTTCCAAGCTTTGACATGTATTATAAGTTAAAATTACATGCAGATAATTTAAGGTTCATTCTAAACCATTTCAATGCGATGACAGTGTTCTTTACACGGCTAAACCAAAGGTGACCATGAAAGAAAATCAGAATACAACGTTGTATCATTCTAGTAGTTTCAGAAGGGAGATGGATTCCCTGGAGTTCACTGCTAAAGATCTATATCAGTTAAATGGCCATGGAAGAGAGAGAGGCCCTTTAGAATTTGAGGTTAAAACTGGAAATGAACCTTGGGACAATGAATTTGTGGATGCTTTTGCCAAGGATAATGAATATGGAAATTTAAATTTTCCAGGAAAGGAAGATTGGGATGAAATTCCAAGTGACCGTGAGAGGGATGCAGATCCATTGGATTCTGATACAGAGAACAATGGCAAATTGGGAAAAATCCTGGAGTTTGAACTTACTGTGATTGTAGAACGATTTGCACATGATCATGATAATGATCCAAGAGATTCTTATATGCCATGCATTGCTGCTTCAGATTTGTTTGAGTCTGGTACAAATTTATGTACTGATAAACGATTTGCCCATGATCATGATAATGATCCAAGAGATTCTTATATGCCATGCATTGCTGCTTCAGATTTGTTTGAGTCTGGTACAAATTTATGTACTGATAAAGATACTACAGATCGTGAACTGCCTGAGCTGGAAGTATTCTACAAAGAGGTTAATTATAACATTGTCAAAGATATATGCGTTGATGATGGGATGCCCAAGGAGGACAAAGTTTTGAGCAAAAGCATTAAGGATCATTGTAAAACAGCAAAAGAAGGCATTGATATGGAAATGCTCATTCTGGACGGTTTAAAATCTTTTTCTTTGGAGAATAACGAAGATGATGCCAATAATCATTGTGGGACCAAAAATAGCTATGAAAAATCACATTTGCCAATTGGGCCAATAGCTGCCTCAGAAATTTCTTTGGACAAGGATTCTGTTGGGGAATGTGATGTAGAGGACTCGATGCACTTTTCTGAACCAAATGATGGTGCATATGCTAAGATTGAGAGAGATGTTCCAGAGGCGGAATCTTTTGTAGATAGCAAACTTCCAGTGCTGAATTTTGGTACTTGTAGTTCCCTTAGATCTTTTCTCAACTCATTAAGTAGCGATGGAAATGAAATTGCTCAATCACCCAATCAGGTTTGTGTTCCATATTTTTATTGTTTAACTTCTTAAAACACGTGTTTGCCCGCATGATAAATGATATGGTTCAGAAGCCGTTGAAGAATAATTTAGCATATTGTTTCCTTGCAGAATTTTGTAAATGCATGTTTATGCGTATTGACTAGGACATAAAAACTTATACTTAGAAATACTGCGTAGACATGCTGGAGATGCTTTTTTTGTCTGTTGAAGTTACTCCAATTATAATTGTTTGCTTCACAGATTCCATCTGAAGATGCAATTTCAAGTAGCCACGCTGCACTGTTGACGAATACAGAATTAAATAAGAATAGTGTCCAAGCTGCCAACTTATTATGCAACAGTAAAGTTGACTGCGGAGATATTACTTTTAACTTCAACTCACCCAAACCCGTGGCAGCTGGCAGTACGGATGGATGTGCTGAAAATGTCGATGCACAATCTGTCAAGTCAGAGGATGAATGTCATCTTGAGTTTATAAATTCCGTCAAACATTTGGAAGCTAGCGCGGCAAAGTGCACCGGAAACAAGTTCGATAGCAATGGAAATGTTCATGAACATTCCATCGACCTCCAAGACACGAACTCTACTTCTCCGGATGGCCAAGTCCAGTCTGCTAGCATCAAGGACAAAAATGCTCAAAATGTTCATGACGAAGCCATTCAGACACATGATGTTTTTAAGGATGAGGTCGTGGAATGTGGCAGCTTTCCGGTTGTAAACCAAGTCCGATGTGATGAGGGAGAGTCAAGCTTCTCCGATGCAGGTCTTATCACTTTCTCAGGGCCAATATCTTATTCTGGGAGCCTTTCTCTTCGATCTGATACCGGTGCCGCTAGCGCTCGATCCTTTGCCTTCCCAGTGTAAACTTTATTTTAGTCTATGACATTGATTCTTCGTATGTAGGGATGTTAGCTATTTGCTAATCAGTTTTTTCTTGTCTCTACAGATTACAATCTGAATGGAATATCAGTCCAGTAAGAATGGAAAAAGCTGATAGGAGACATTTTCGAAGACGCAGGAGTTGGAGATCGGGTCTTCTTTGCTGTAAATTCTGAATGCTTCCATTCATTTATAGGTTCAACATCCCAATTTAGTCATTGAGGGCTGCCTGCAAGTATATATGTAGGGATATTTCTTAGGCTTGGTTGGCATTGTGTGTTGTGTTCATAGGGTCGTGCTTTGATTTTATTATAAAGCAATGTCTATATTTTTTGTTATATTTTTGACTTACGGATATTTATCGTGGAAATAGTGCATCAGTGTTAACTTTGACTAGCTAATATATAATTATTCGGTTTTTTTAGTTCTTCAACCACTCACAAAAAAAAAAATAAATAAATAAAAAGAAAAAAATCCACTTCGATGTCTCATACCAGTTGGCAAGATTAGACTCCATATATCGGTGAGTAATGGTCTGTTCCATGAGATCTCCATCTCTCTAGTGTGTAGGAAGGACACCTCGTTTTGTTGTTTGAAAGAGAATAAAGTGATATGAATTGAGTGAAGGAGAGGATTTGCTACGGTAAGTTGCAGGTTCGTATCACTCAATACCTTTATAACTTTTCCGACATGTGTATGGTAATTACAAATCCCTTTCCCTACACCTTACGAGGGCGTTCTAGCTAGATTCAAGTATTTTTATGTTAGCACACTGATCAAGAACAGCTGCAAGAATTTCTTCCCCAAGGTAATTGCTCGTGGTTCAACTTTAAATTTGATCGACCGGTCCACCTATATTGTGTACCAGTCGTCTCATCCTTGTTGGAAAAAATTAATAAATAGCTCAGTTTTGGCAAAATTTTTGGTGGGATCCCTTGGTCCAATTTGAAAAATCGAAGTTGATTCGTGTTCTTCGTGAGAGCATCAAAATAATATATTTACTTGTCAAAAATGAAACTCAAGTGCTAAAGAAAGTTTCTAAGTTGGTGAAATCACTATATAGCTTGAAACAAGCACCCAAACAATAGCATAAAAAATTTAATGATGTCATGATAAAGAGTTGATTTAAATTCAATGAGTGAAATAAATGTGTTTACGTCAAAGACACTAAAAATGGTTATGTCTTTTTATGTCTTTACGTTGACGACATGCTTATTGTTAGTAGTGATAATAAGATGATTGAATCCACTAAAATTATGTTGAATTCGAGACTCGACATTAAAGATATGTGTTTAGCTGATGTTATACTTGGAATTAAAATCTCAGGAACATCAGATGGCTATTTCTAAGTTAGTCACATTATGTGGAAATTTTCTTTTTTGAAAAGTTCAATAAGGATGATATTGGTTTGACAAGAACACTGATAGATACAAGTCAACATCTATCTAAAAACAAAGGTGAAGGACCTCAAGTAGAATACTCGAGAGTTATGAAAAGTCTAATGTACCTGATGAACGTACAAGAGTAGACATAACCTACACAGTCAGTAAATTGAGTAGATACACGAGTAATCCAGGAGCTGATCACTAGAAAGGAATAGTAAGAGTATTAAGTTACTTAAGATGTATTCGTGACTATGGACTACATTATATCAGATATCCACCAATCATTGAAGGATACAATGATACTAATTAGATATTTGATATAAAAGACTCAAAGTACACTAGTGGATTTATATCCACATTGGAAGGTGCTGCCATATTGTGGAAATTCTCTAAGCAAACAGTTATAGCCAAATCTACGATGGAATCTGAGTTTATAGCTCTAGATAAATGTGGTGAAGAGGTCGGATGGTTGCGCAACTTCTTAGAGGATATTCCAAGATTGTCAAAACCTATGCCAACGACTTGTATATATTGTGACAGTCAATCAGCAATAGGAAGGGCACAGAATAACATATACAATGGTAAGTCTAGACATATACGTCGTAGGCACAATACCATAAGACAACTAATCTCAACTAGAGTGATCACTATACACTATGTAAGGTCAAAAGATAACATTGCGATCCGCTAACCAAAGGGTTAAATAGAGAGTTAATTGAAAAATCATCAAAAGGAATGTGACTTAAGCCCTTGAATGAATAAGTTATTACAATGGAAACTCAATTTAGTTGACTAGAAATCCCAAGATCTAGATTCAAAGGGATAACCTAATTGTAAAGGCTTAATATAATCATTGTGGGGGTGTTTCCTCCTGTCCATTCCTATGATATAACAGTGATGCCCGTAAAAATGAAGGATAAACAATAGACTTTTAATAATTCTTATGCGTCAAAGTTCGAGCCAAGTAATGCAGGTTACTTGTAATAAGAAATCACCTATGTGAAAGAGAAGTGGGGCCGCTTCTAAGAGAATTATGTGGGGCTCAATTCTTAAGAACTCTCACAAAATCAGGCATATGTTCATGGGCAAAACGAACATAATAATGAGAACTGAAATATGTTATGAAGAATCCCGTGTGGAATATATCATCGTCTACATAAATAGCAGAATAGTTCAAGGAGAATACGTCTACATAAATATACTTTCACAAGGAAAGGTTCAAAGGGGTTAATACCTACCTATCCTATGTAGGCTTCAACCATTAAACTTTATCATCACATCTTATGTCTCACGGTCTCGTCTCTCTTCCAATTTTTATTCATGTAGGGGATTGTTGAAAAAAAAAGAGTAAATAGCTCACTTTTGGCAATATTTTCGGTGGGACTCGTTAGTTCAATTTGGAAGATCAAAGTTGTTCCATGTTCTCCTCCGTGAGAGTATTAAAATCATATATTTATTTGCCAAAAATGAAGCTCGGGTGAATGAGAAATTGAAACTTAAAAATGACCATTGAAAGATGGTTTAAGTGAGAAAATTGCATTAGTCCCACATAGAAAAAATATGAAAGTAAGAACCAATTTAAATATGGTTGCACATTGGAAGGGTGTAATCATGTGTAGCATAGATGCTCTCTCCACGTGCGCGCGTAGAGAGTGCAAATCACCGACCAAAATTACTTTCGGATTTTGAATTTGTGTGTATGCGTGACCTGCATACACGAATGTCGGACCACACGGAACAAAAATGGCCTGTTTGGAGTGTTCACATTTTGCAATTTTTTGTTTTCTATAATTGACCTTTGAGTTTTCGAAAACTGCCAAAACTCCAGCAGAATCTGAAATGGCTCCAATGTTTATTGCTAGAGTTAATGGCAGATGGCAGATTTATTTTATATATTAAATCTCATAATTTTTTTGAAAATTCTAGCACACTCGAAAATAAAGGAGAAAAAAGAATTTGTGTCTGCAGACACAAAAATATAGTCTGCATATTACATAATTTTTCTGTCTGTATACATAATCTCAGTTTCTGTCCAAAGTTGTGGTGATGATATTGTTTAAATACAAACTCAGTTCGCCGAAGTAATTTCTGCAGTGCTTAGATTCTATGGATTTTACCGTTGTATCTTGAAAAAACAGACGCTTGAATTAGACCTCAAGCACTTACGACGAGGGGACGAATCTGTTTTAAGAAAACTGTGTTCATAAAGGTCTCGGGTTGAAGATTTATTTATTTTCTACAATTCACATATTTATTTATTTAGCGATTTACATATTTGCAGTTTAATCTTATGCTTCGCAGCTTTTTCAGTTTATTTTGTTATATGTACTTTATATAATTTTACAGTATATTATCTGTATGTCTGAAAAAAATTTGAAGAAAATTAATTAATTTAATAACATTCGATTTGGTAGTTGTCCAATCGGTATTTATTTAGATAATATATGCAAGTACAGTATTTCTACATTTTGGTGTATGTAAGTGCATATCCGGTATGTTAGTTGCATATACGGCATCTAGCAAATATGTGTAAATCACTCACTGTATATGAAATAGAATAAATGAAAATTTTATGTAAATATGATGAGCTTTTTTCAAATACCGTAGGCAGCATAAATGGTAAGCTGCAGATACAGTAATGTGCAAATACGGTAAGTTGCTTGTATATACAGTAGGCTACAAATACAGTAAGCTGCATATACGGTAAGCTACCTGCAAATATGGTAAGTGGCATATACGGTACACTTAAAATTAGTATTCCGATTTCATTACTACCTCTATATTTCCAACAATCCTTAGGTTTAATCTTATGACCTTTCTTGATTGTGCAGTTAATCATGCCAAGTTTACTATCCCTTCACTGCCATGAAGTTCAAACTCAAAGAGGCAATTTACATACATGCATACATTTTTATTTATTTACCTGTACCCTATCTATCTTTGGCTTTATTATATTCTTCTAAATTTTATATTCCTCGTATGATAAATAGGTGAAAAGTGCTACAGACAAATATTTTGTGACTCAAGCGATGGCAATAGATGCTTCATCATGTATGTATAATACAACATGTAAAGGTGAATTCTAGTTGCTTCGACATGTTAAAAAAAGAGAGTTAAAAGGTGGCTTTTTAGCACAGAAAAATGCCGACAATATAAGTTGCTCAATGTGGATGTACTTTTTTTTCCTTATCTAGTAATTGATTAATTCTTCTGATATCGGAGAATAGATGACATGTGACTACATAGTAGAGAAGAAAATCTGATGCATGCAGCAAAAGGGACATGGAGAGAATGGTTCAAATGGGAGCCAACAAATCCAAATACTTCACAATGGATTATTCGTGGGTTAGACAAATTGTCCTATACATAACGAGAAGTCCATGAACACAGCAATAAACGACCCAAAGATTAATACAAAGGCAGAAAGTTTATTCCAGCAAACCGCCAGCCAGAATAAAAGTTATAAAAGTTGACGTCATTGGGAAGGAAATTGAAGAAAACAAATCCCAGCAGCCGGCTGAGAATAAAACCCAAACAAAAGGGAATTGACGTCAAAATTGAGAGAGAGGGCGGTCCAAAGAAACCAGTAGCAATGGCCCAAAACCTGTCCAAAACCTGTCCAACAAACAAATGGCCAAAACTGCCCAGAAAACCCAGCAAAAGAATGGCCCAAACAGGAGAAAAAGGCCCAGACAGAAGACCCAAAACAGGCCCAAGAGAACCAATAAAATCCATCCAACAAGGCCCAAAAGAAGGGCCCAACAAGGCCCAAAGAAAGCACCTTAATCCACCCAACAATAGGCCCAAGAAAGTCCAGAAAAGCCCAAATGAAAAGGAACAGATTAGCCCAACAAAAACTGATGAAAGAGGCCCAAAGAAAATCCCAGCAAAATACAACCCAATTAGGAAATAAAGGCCCAGACAGTAGTCCAAGCACAGGCCCAAAGAATCCCAATAAAACAGTCCAGCAAAGGCCCAGAAAGTGGCCCCAACAAGGCCCAAATGAAGCACCTCAATCCAATCACCAGAGGCCCAAG